GATGGAGGTGGGTGGTCCTTGGACTTCCCACAGGGCAGGGAACCCTGATTGCTTTTTGGGCTGACGAGGGAGGGGGACTTGATTGGGGGAGAGGGAGGGAAAGGGGAGGCGGCAGTGGGGAAGAGACAGAAATCTTTAATAAATAAATAAATAAAATTCTGATTTGTTTTATGATTTCTGCTTGGGATCAACATGTACTAATGGCATAGCATTTGTTATTCCCTCCTGAAGGTACAACAAAAGCAAGAACACTAATTGGAACATGACTAACCCTCAACTCCCTCTCATGAGTATTTGGCAGTATAATAACTATGAAAAACAAGCAGCCTTGGAGATAAGAGGCTAGTTTGAAAGTTGTTCTGGTAGTTCCAATGAGACACACTGGTTATCTAGACAAAGCAGAGTGGAGAGAAATAAATGTGTTTGAGGTAGCGCTCAAGTTTAGCCCTTGACTGACTGGGAATCACAGTGAGGAAGCATATGAAATGAAGGCGAGCTTGTTTAGGTGACCTGCTGGATGGGAGTGTAATTTATTGGTAGCAGACAAGTCATAGGGACTTATTTAAGAAGTTAGAAAATGTTGATACATTCAAATAAACCTGAGGATAACCGGGAATGGTTTGACATAGATGAATGTGAAGAGAGATTTATCCTACTAGGTAGTAAAATTAATTTTAAGGTTTGGTAATCAAAACTCTGCAATGCCAGAGAGAGAACAGAATGACATACAAACGAGTCTGAAAGTTCAGAAACAGATTTGACTTTAGGTAAGCATATGGTAGATACCTTTTGTTGTGGGAATTCTATTTCAAAAGAGCAGAACGTATAAACAAGTTGTATAAATAAGAGATTTTTTAAGAGCAAAACATTAAATTTCAAAATGATAGAACTTACTAAATTATGTATATGGGAAGCTAATGTTAATTTATCACTTGAACATAATCAGATGTGTTCAGCATAAGTCATATGTTGATAAATCCATCCTGAGTTAAAAGTAGTCTAAGCTCAAAGTGCATTTACTTCACCTAATCTTGTAGGCATCCCAGTTTAGCAATAAAATATCATTCCTGTGATCACACATTTCACTGGGACCTGTGATTTGCTGCCACCGAGGACTGTCATAAGGGAGCGTCCACTACACATCACTAGCCTAAGATAGGATGAAACTCAGAATTTGAGTATCATCCCTGTGCGTATATGTATACTGCTCTTATGTAACATGGAGTCAGAAACTCATGTCACACACCATAAATCAAAGACAGTATATTTATATTTACCCTTGACAATAGTTCACGAGACATTGTTGGAGGTAACTTACAATTTATGAATTTATATATAATTTATGTTGATATATGATTTATAGAAAGTTAGATACAGCAGCTGATGCTCATTATCTTAGCACATGGGAGACTGAGGCAGGAGACTGAAAAGTTTGAGGCCAGCCTGGACCACACAGTAAGGTACTGTTGCAAAATATTTGAAGGTTAAAGTAATTATAGATGCAGAGATACTCAAAACAGAAAACGGGGCTGCCTCTTCAATAAATTGTTGTGGAAAATCTGATGGTCTCACAGAAGCATTGTCTTAAATTTTTATCTTGCCCTAGCTGCAAAAATTAACTTGAAATGGACTTAAGACGCAAAACCTGAAACTGTAAAGCTACTAGCAGAAAATAGAATTAAAATCTCCATATTTGTCCACGCAAATAACTTTTTAATCTAAGCACAAAATAATTAATGAAAACAAAGTAGAGCATGAATTACATCAGCTAAATAGTTTTCCTACAGCAAAGGACAGTGAATTGATAAGGCGGCCTATAAAGTAGGATAATGTATTTGTAAACCATGCATCATAGAATGGCTTTATATCATCATAGGGCACTCAGCTCCATAGTTTGAAACAATTTACCCTTTAGAATGGATGAAGGACCTAGATAGCTGTTCCTTAAAGAAGATATGTAAGATGACCAATGGGTTTAAATAATGCCCCTGCATAATAACCAGGAAAATGCACATCTAAGCTACAGTGAGCCCTCATAGTTGTTAGAACAGCTAATATGAATAGTTTGGGGAGGATATGGAGAAAATGAGAGTTGTGAACACCACTGGATGGAAGACCAGTTGATGCAGTCATCTGGAAAACTGTGTAGAGTTTCTAAAAACATTAAAATGTATTGAGAATGACCCATTCCACTACTGGGCATCTTCCCAAAGGATGTGGAATCAGTGTGTTAGGATGTTACAGTGCACTCCCAAGTTTATTGTAGCCCTATTCACAGATGTCAAGGTTTGGAATCAGTCTGTGTGCCGACAAATGGAGAAAGTAAATTAGCCCATCCTTAGTAATTAAACCTCCAAGCCATTTAAAAATCCCAATCATGCTTCATCAACAGTAACATCGCAACTTTACCAAACCCTTGAATTGTTCTCATAAATTTAATGTAGGGTTTTAGCTGGAGACTTTATTTATCTATTTTATTTTCAAGGTTGAAAATTCTTCTTCTTCTTCTTCTTCTTCTTCTTCTTCTTCTTCTTCTTCTTCTTCTTCTTCTTCTTCTTCTTCTTCTTCTTCTTCTTCCTCCTCCTCCTCCTCCTCCTCCTCCTCCTCCTCCTCCTCTTCTTCCTCCTCCTCTTCCTCCTCCTCCTCCTCCTCTTCTCCCATACTTGCTTCAGCATTTGTTGTTCCCTATTTTGTTGATACTTGACTTTCCAACTCAGTTAAGATTGGAGACTCTTTGATTAGACTTTATTTGATTTTGTTGTAATCTCAGCTTTTCCTTCCTTCCTTCCTTCCTTCCTTCCTTCCTTCCTTCCTTCCTTCCTTCCGCTCCTCTCTTCCTCCCTTCCTTAGGTTCTTTCCTTCATTCTCCTTTTTTTTACTGTGTTACCCAGGCTGCTGCCCTCAAACTCAAAATATCCCTGCCTCAGCTTCATGCGTATCCAGGATGGCATGTGTACACCACAGCTTCTCAGCTCTGAAAAGCAACGAAGTAAGCAATAACAAACTAACAAAAAGGTCACATCCTTTAGAGGACAGTAGTTTTTATCTGTTTAAAGGACAAGAGACTGTCCAACTGAGGCACAGGGCATATTCAACTCCTGCCGCATGGCAGGGCCGGCAGTGGATTCTGGATGCAGGGTGGTGCAGAAGACAAAATACACGGAGGACGGCACAGTCATCTGGTCTAACCATGAAATGTGCTTCATCCATTATCTCAGCCACAGAGAAGTAGCTGGAGATTTTCAGCAGTGGGGGTCTATTCTGTTGCTTTCCAGTTCCATTTGTTGGCTTACTTTATCAGTGTGTATTTATTTTATAAAACAAGTAGTAGCTTTAATTCATAAATTTATTTTGAGTTTTGACCCAAATTTCCTCTTCTTATCTTCTAAAGATTAGTCTTTTCTTCTTTCAGTTTTTTGCCTTTTAAGAGCTTTGCCCTTCCCTCCACTTTGCGAGGCTGCACTTGAGGGAGAGCTTTTCAGACACGTCGGGAAAGCGTTCTATAGCTGCACAGCCTCTCTGGGCAGAACCCTGCGACTCCTTTCATCATTTCTCCTCTGACATGGGTTTTTAAAGCAAATACCCTCTTGATTGCTTTCTCTGGATGCTTTCTACTTTGTCACCCTTTGTTGTTAAAAATAAATTACTCCCAATTTCCTGCTTTCAGTAGAGTAGAGTGAACATAATTGACTCTTTGATGTGTGAGGGTCTGGTGTGGTCTGAAAGCAATTACCCTGACCTTGAATTCCACTTACTGTAAATATCATTATAGACAAAGTGGGCGCTCGGACTAAATCTGTATCAACCATGGAATGGATCCTGGAAGATTTTCTGAAAATGAGTTTATTTTCTTATTTGTTTCCCAGTTATGAAGTGTACTTTATAAAGTAACAAATAGAAAAAAATAAAATGTTATTCATTCTGAAATCCATCATGCAGGCAATTTGTCTTCCCAAGTAGACTATGAACTCCCTGAGAGCTAGGACTATGTCTTACCAATTAAGAAAACAACACTCATGATTAGCCTTTACTACTTAATATAGCCCCCCTCTCTCATACACACACACACGTACACACACACACACACACACACACACACACGGAAGGGACAATAATTATTGGTAACTAGTTAATTCATCATTTATAAGAAATCGAGATGTTATACAATTAATTGAATTGTGTTTTTTAGAATATACTGAGGAATTAGTAACATAAAATATGAATAATCTGGATATAAATTATATCCTTACCTTAAAAAGTCTTAGCCATAATGGATTAGTTATATAGTTGGCAGTATTTACAAAGAAAAATATTAATGTGATGGATGGGATACTTACAATTCTGAGTGTAAGTAAACTCAAACAGTAATGACTTATATTATAAGGATGCTGATATTTCCTTACAAAGCCTGAAGAAGCTTTTGCTAGGTCTGTTCTAGCAACTCAACGATATCATAAGGGTACCAGGCACTTTTATCTTAATATTGCAGCTTCTGTTTTTTTTTTATATCATTTTGTTCTTGAGTTTGCATTACAGTAAAACACAAAGTCTTCCCTTCCCCTAGAGAGGATCCTAGGGGAAGTAGCCCCTCACAATCTTCTCTGGGGGAAAACTATTCCTTCAGAAGCCTTCCCCAGAATTCTGCTGTGTCTAGCTGGCCAAAGGTGAGTTCTATGGCTATCTCTAGGAGGCAGGCAAGGAGGAGGGCCTGGAAAATGATTGTTGATTGAAGCTGTTTACTCTGTGACTAGAAAGTAGATATTCATAGCAGAGGAAGATCCAGACTGTTACTGTCTAATGGAAACTCAGGCTTTCCAAATGATAAGAACTCTTTCAAGCTACCAGTGATAACAACATATAGTTATAGGACCTTATCAAATAGAACATCAGTTCTTAGCCAATTTGGCAACAGCTGGTGGACCCAACTACCCTTCTGATTTCTATAAATCAGACAAGGCTGTGTTTTTATTAAAAAGCTCTTCATTACCTCTCCTTTTCAGGAGTCTTATCCAAAGAAGAGGAATCACACCATGGAAATCGTGCCATCGGCCTCCCTGGACACATTTCCTTCAGAAAACGAGAACTTTCTCTGTGATCTCCTGGACACAGCCGTTACAAAGAAACCTTGCTCCCTAGAAATCGCAAGGGCACCTTCTCCGAGAACTGGTAATTTTTCCGACTCACCATTGGCCAATTCGATTTGCATACTCACATAACTGAAGACGCATCATTAATATTTTTATGTCATACTATATTATCAACATAAAAGTGTCCCAAAGTAGTCCCAGTGCTCAGTTTTGCATTTCAAGTGAGTACAGGTAAGCCGTAGATTTCGATGTGAAGTCTAATGGTTAAGGGCTCTTCACAGAGATGGCCCTGCTTTGTTCGACATCATTAGGAACCTTGGTGGGATGTCATGCTTTGGGTCCTTGGTAGCAGAAGTCCTTATATAGACCTTTGGACATCCTATTTGTTTCTAACTCATCAAATTATATTTGGTTACTAAATTTACCTTACGTTTTCATAACTTGGTCTAGTTTAAAGGTTGGAAGTCTTTTCTGGCAGAGGGAGTTACTGAAGATGAAGCATCCAAAGCAAGACCAGGGTGGGTGGATGCTGGCATTGAGATAGTCTAGGTAAATGCCGACATTCCTTGCCCGGAGATGGAAGGAGGAGCGTGTGCTTATTATTATAGGCAAACTCTAGTGCATTTCCAAATGGGTTTGTTTCTGCCTAAGATGGCAAATTGGGTGAGGCACAGTTCCACGGCAGAGTGCTTGTCTAGCGTGTGCAAGGCTCTTGGTTCGCACCCTGGTACTTGGCATGTATTTGGGGCAATGAATGGAAGAATTATAGAGGGGTTGAAGTAAAATCCAGAAAATCCATTATAGATAGTATACTAGAAGATTTCACAGAGATGAACAAATAGACTTTGAGTTGTGCTAAGGTAGGGGTACTGTGTAAATCATAACCATACAGAAGAAAGTTAGTTTTTGGATAAGGTAAAAACATGATAATGAGAGTAGCTAAAAATTATGAGGTTCTTACTGTGTGTTCTAAGTTATTTATGTGTATAACGTCATGTAGCTCTTAGGATGCGGTGAGTTATTAACATTGTCCATCACTTTAAAACTGAGGAAGTGGAGGCCCTGACACATTAGATGATGGCACAGGAGTGTGTTACTAGGGATGGCTCTGGGGTTTGAGCCTGAGTGGTTCTTCACTGTGTGCTATAGTGCTGCATTATGTCAGGCGATGAGGAGAGGCAGGAATTGTGAACGAAGAACAGGGTGTTAAGAAATGTCAGATAGTCCTCATGTGACCTTGACAATCAGAAAAGATGTAAGCGTGGCCAAGGATCAGATGATCACAGGCTATGGGTGAAGGGAGACTAATGAGTGATTGACAAACCGCCATAGAGAAGACCAGTGCTCATAGCGTATACAGAAGTGGGTGAGCACCAGAACTTATAAGAGAGCTAACAAGGGATCCTAGTCAGTCTTGGTATCTGGGGACATCTCTCCTTTATCCTAAGGTCCTTAGTTTCTAGAACACTTCAGTCCCATCAAGGGACTTGAGGAGAGTGCCCCACTGAGGTAGGAAAATATAGGCAAAATGTGCAAAACTGTAAGGGCACTCTACCTAGGCATAGGCACACTGAAGGGTCAAGAGTGACAACAGAGGAAGGAGTGCAAGCATGGAAGGTGGGTTTCTCCTAGCTATCCATCAAAGGATCCGGTCAGCTCTTTGCTGCAAACAAGGAATTCTGCATAAAAATATAGGGAAGAAAAACTTCTGAACGGCACCAAAAACACTGGTGAGAAAATTAAATGGGTTGAACCACACCTGGCTTTGGAGCCCCTTCTATCAGCACATTAGAGAGACAGGCCACAAAGCTTCGGCCTGTGTGGTAAGCCAGTGCAGCAGTTAAAGCTGCTTTGGTCCTAAGGAATTTGCTGGACCTACTGTTGAGAAGTGGTGCTTAAAGCAACGAGCTCAGACAGAGATCTCCATGACAGCCCAGTGTGAGCATTCTACAGTGAACACTGTCCTCCATAGGCTTAGATGTCAAGGGTACACCGTTAGAGTAATCACAAGTAATACGGCCTCACACCTCCACCCCAAACACTTCAACGTCTTGTTTCATTATGGGTAGAAAAGGGGGAGATTCATGAGGAATTTATGCTTTAAGCTAGCCCCTATACAGGATAGCACCTCAGATTCATCTCACACAGATGTTCCGAGAACTGAATTTAGGTTAAAAGCAGTTCCGTCAGGGACCAGTCGAAAACAATTATGACCCTCAGAAAGGAGAGCAGGACACTCTATTCTCTTTAAGCCCCAAGTAATTCCATTAAATAGTTTCCGTATTATGATTGGCAGTTTAAAATAATTAAGCCTGAAGAGAAAGGAGCCTGAACCAGGAGCCAGCAGAAGTAAGGGGAAATCTGCACACCTGAGGGGGCTTCACCTACTACAGCTGTCAGATGCAGAGTATAAAATGCTGACATAATTTCAGGAAGAGAGAAGCTTGGAAAGAAACCACCAGGGTATATCTGAGATGAAAATGGAAGCTTCTAGGAATGGAAAAAGATGGTGCACACAACATGCGAACGGATGGGCAGATGTTATCGGACATTAAATTCAGCGGAAGGAAGTTTTAGTGAGTGGGAAAGAGGGCAAGAAGAGAGTGTCAGAACATGGCGTAGAAGGGAAGAGGGTGGAAGAGGAGCATGGCATGGAGTGTTCCTATCAAGAACATCTATCTTACATGTCTGATCATAGCTGCAGAGATCTGAAGCAATATGTTAGAGGAAAACCTGCCCCAAAGAGCCCTGCCCTGATAGATGTACGGGGGTTGATAAGTGAACAGTAGAATTTGTTAGGTTGTATAATATATGAAGATGTAATATTTCATAGATTTCTTTGGAAGTAACCTGAAAGAGCGTCCTGGAAACATAAGGATCAATTATGTATGAAGAGAGAATGCCTGCATGTGTGTCTAATGCTATCTGAACGCCACTAAACTTATACCAATAGCAGTAATTGATTTTGTTCCTGAATCTGCAAGTCTAGCTGGTTCCGTTTTGTGAGGATCACCTCTCTACCACATTGCTCATTTAGGGAATTTGGAAAGTAACCTTCACTAATTTATTTTGTTCTGTGGTAGGCGTCAAACCCAGGGCACCTGTGCATGCTAAGTGCTCCTAACTCTGCGCTCCTTCTCCAGCCTATGGAGAACAATTGACTCTAAGGATACTGTGTCGATGGGGGTCTATCTGGATACCTGGCAAGCTGTCTATAAACCAGGAGCTTTGTTTTGGCGTGGGGATTGCTTGCTTGCCTTCTGTGACTGGCATGTTTCTCCTCGTGAAGTACAGGCTGGATTCTGAAGATCAGTGTCTCCATTACCAGTGGAAAGTCTAGCTCTTCCATTCTATCACCATATTGCACTCTGGAAATCTGGGATGTCAGCATGACCAGGCTACTGGTGAGGGCGTTCTTCCCGGCTCGTGGGAGGCTGACATTTCACTGTGTGCTTTTGCTTGTTTTTATGTCTGTGCTGAGTGAGTGACTCTGGCACTTTTGTCCCTGAGAAGGAACCATACTTAAGGAAAAGACACCAGAGAAGTCAGGACTGTCTCCCCAGCTTCCAGTGATAGTTTTTGTCTTTGAATAGCTGTTTTGGTCCCCACAGCTTCTCCCCTTGAGCTTTTCATCTTTCATTGTCACTTGTTTTTAGAGTCCCCAGCTCCTGCCTCCTGAGAAGTCACAATGTTAAAGCCACAAGTTTTGGAACACCACATTTCCAGGTGCCAAAGTCCCCTCTGGTTATTGACTGCCACACAGAACAAACCAACCTTAAGACCTAGTTAACAACAACAATAACAAGACACACTCATGTATTTTTCTTTTAAAGCTGCACTTCTGAGATGGCTCTGTAGGAGTTTCTTGCTTGCTGTTTCAAGTAATTATGCCGGGGCTTCTTGACTAAACACTGTAATAGAATCTGTGTACAAGATCCATTCTTAGGCCAGGTGAAGGGCTCTAACAGGCCAGAGCTTGGCAAACATGGCTCTGACAGGTTTTGCCTTTTACCCTTCTTCACCCCCCACCCAACGCCCCTGACTGTTAGATTACATTCCCAAGCTAACCCCCAAGGTCTATTCCTTTATTTTGCCACGGACTCATTCCTGAAACAAAATACCAAGGTCCACCGATCAAAATTCGTTATTTGGTTAATGTGTCCAGTCAGGATTTACCAACTCACCCTAGCACAGACTTCCCCCCTTTCTCCTTAAAAACCCACTCCTGTAAAAGACAAACAAAAATCCTGCTGGTGCTTGCTTGCTTTCTTTCTATTGCTGCTGTCTTTGCAGCCCCCGTCCCACTACAACCCCTATCTGCCTGCCCCTCCAGAGTATTAAATCTCCTTTGTGCTGGGTGTGTCTCGCACTGACTCCGAGGGGGACCCTCTCCCTCACGTCAGTTGTGGTGGCCCAGACTTATAATCCTAATACTTAGGAGGCTGGGGCCGGAGGATCACTGTGAATTTGGCAACACTGTGAGTTCCACATCAGTCTGGGCTAATTTCAAATAAATAAAAAAAAATAACATTCTATCTTCCATATCTACCATGGCCTACTTGGATTGCTCTTGGTATATGTTGGGTAAATGTGAATATGATTCCAAGAACAAACCCCAAGGAAAATCGGCAGAAGCTACACTCCCTTTTATGGCTTAGACATCACTTCTGCTGTGGCCAAGACTCTGCCCGCATTTAAGTAGAGGGAATTTTCTTTCTCTGGCCTTTGCCAAGAGTGCTGACTAAATAGCAGCATAAGAAGTTATCCATCCAGCTGCTTTTGGAAAACACAGATTCTTACGACTATCTGAGTTGCTGTTGTTTTGGTTTTATTTTATTCTAAATGGAGCTAGATTTTAATTTGCATGGATATATGAATCCCCCTACTGTCGTTGATACTTGGGCTTGTGCAGAAATCAGCCTGACCAGCTGAACCAGCTGAATCCCTAAGACCTGTGCTCTGCGCTCTGGGCTGTGTTTATGAATTCTACCAGTGGGGAGTCGAGAATTAAAATGGAAATTATGTGTTTTTAAATTATAGGAATAAACATGGATGCAGATTCCTGACAGGGGCGCCCAAAGGATTGCTCTCTAGTTGTTAGCGCCACCGCTGGTGAGACAGTATCAGCGTAGCTGTGTCTTCATTGGCTAGTCTAGAGACAGTGTGCGCCCCGCACTCCACTCAGCTAACCTGTGTCTTCATTGGCTAGTCTAGAGACAGTGTGCACCCCGCACTCCACTCAGCTAACCTGGGGCTCTAGGTTTCATGGATCCTACCCTTTCCAAGTCTCTCACTGCTCTGAGTACTTTATGGCTTATGATTAGCTTTGTGCTGTTCCTTTGGGAGCAGCTTGGTGAGCTGGTGAACTTGGGGGAGGAGCTGACCACTCTTGGAGTTATTGATGTTTTCCTGCTGTGAGAGCAAAGAAAGGACTTGCAGGACAGCTCCTAATGTAGATGAGTACCTGTAGCGCCTACACTATGGGACAGTTAGTGAGGTGGGAAAAGGGGCTGGAGGTTGAAACACATAGACGCACAGACGGAAACACGGGTCTTACTTGAAACAAGAATGCCAATTTTATTGTGTTCCAGAGCAGCTTATGTAGTGCCTTCCCTGATCAATGGCCATTCCCTAGCTCTGGAGATCCTTCAGCTGCAAGCCACCAGAAACCACTCCCCTGCCATCAGGGAGGGTCTCTTGTTTGCGCAGAGCAGCTGCAAGCATAGGAAAACAAGTTGTCTGTAGGAAATTCAGGGTGTGGGGGTCCACGGTCCCCAAAATCTCCCCCTTTTCTATATAATTAGACCTAATGTTCTTCGTTTTTAACTCGCCCAGGTGTGGCACAAATGTGATGGAGAAAAGGAGAGCAACTAACCACATGCAAAGCCCACAAAAATCCAGTTGCTCTTGTAAGTTGGAAAATGCCCTAGCAAACATGCGCATTCTACATTCCATATGAATAATATTAAATGCTGGTAAAGGCTACAAGATAGTCACACCAGCCATCTGGCTGATGGCAATTCTGGCTGCCACGGAGGAGGCCGCAGCAGTGATCCCAAAGTGTCTCTCTGCTGGGGCAGCTCCACCAGGCTGGGCACCCACTGGGCTGTGGCCACACGCCTCTCGTCACAAAGTCTTGGGCATGCAGAGCCAGGGACCACTGCCACCCATGAAGCTCTGCTCCAGCTGCCACCTCTCCACCCACGGGGACTCCGGGAAGCAGGCTCACACTCAGGAATTGTGGAGGGGGGGTGTCAAAGCTTGCCACCTGCACACCGCTCGTCCCCGCTCCTCGAGCCCACAACCTCCAGTAAACAATCATTTAGGGAATTTGGGCATCGTTCTCTGTAAACTACTTCCTGCTGTTTATTGGGCGAAGTATCTTTGGGGGTATTCACAGTGACATTTCAGGGGATTTTGGTCCATCAAACCATGTTAGTCTGGAATGAATCCACAGGTTCATTGGTGGAAACAAAAGCAGAACCTACCTCTTTTCCAAAGCAACAAATTTTTAAAATCAAGATACCTTTCTTAGCAGTCTCCAGAATCAAATGTCTTTCTCTAGTCAAAAATAAAAAAGAAAGAAAACACAGCAGTGTACATCCGTGCACATCCCATCTGTTTGAGGCCTTCAATTCACCCTCCACCTCCTCTTTATTACTTCCCGGCTGGCCAGTCTTCTGGAGGGCACGCCTCAGAGAGTCTCTAGTTCCTGATCTCAACTGTGCCTCCTGTGGTGCCTGCGCCACCTGGAACTACTATAAGGCAAGAGTCTGGACATGAAAGCACACACAGACACATGCCCATGTTCAATCAACCCTCACCGTTCCCGAGGGCGATCTCTTAGTGTGTCCCTAGTTGCCAATCTCACTGAGGGCCTCCACCTGTAAATGTCTGTGCTTAACTCTGCTCTTTTGTATCTAGAATTCCTTCCCAAGCTTTCTCAGGTTTTCTGTGGATTTTTCTAGCATACTTTGGAGTGCCAATTGTTGTAGAGAGGCCGCTTGTTTGTTTCCCAGCTGCCCAGACTCCCGAAATAATCACACAGAACTATATTACTTAAAACACTGCTTGACCCGTTAGCTCTAGCTTCTTATGGCTAATTCTTACATATTAATTTTTAACCCATTTCTATTAATCTGTGTGTGGCCACAAGGCTGTGGCTTACTGGATAAAGTTCCAGCCTCTGTCTCTGTCTCTCTGTGTGTATGTATTTCAATCTCCAGCCCCTTGCCCAGCGTGGTATGCTACAGGCGTAGTACCATAGTGCACATAGTACAGGTGAGGCATAGTACCATAGTACACGTAGTATAGGTGCTACAGGACAGTAGTACACATAGCAAGGATGCTACAAGTACCAAAACTGAATGAGGAGGAAATGACCTACTTGCCCATTCAATAAACATGCACAGAGTTCCACTAGTTTTCCCAGTTCCAGGCATTGTGTTAGTGTTGCCAAAGAAACAGAGTTGAGCTGCAAGTCCTAAAAATTTGGAAATTTGAAGGTTAATAAGCACAAGAAGTAGAACCACATATCCCTGGGTTGTAGGAGAGGGATATGAGGTGTAACCTACTTCCAGCAAATGCTGCCTGATCTCAGCCTCAACTAAGGAAATGTTAGATAGATGTAGGGGGAAGAGGCAAGAGAGCCATGGAGGATAGATAGTTAGCTCTTTGAAGGAACATCTAGAGATCGAATTGTTTATCCTGCACACCAAGGGGGCTTTAAAAGTTTGCATCCTAACCCCTAGGATCTTATAGGAATTTAGAGATGACATCTTCATAGAAGTAACACAGTAATTAAGTAGGCCTTATCAGGCATGTTTAACCTATGGCACATGCAGTAGGAGACAGCTTTGAACCTGAGCGTAAACATGAGGGAGTTGAAAACTTACACCAAAGCTCAGGAGCTGTGTTGTTCGGTGTTTGGCGGGGGAGTAACTGGATTGTGTGGTTCCCTGGGGTCGATTTTGTAGATGACAACGATGTGATACCACAATGACAAAGGACGGGGCGGGCCTGTCAGAAACCCAGGCAAAGGGAAAGGGAAAGGCAATGTAGGCACACGAAGAAGATGGCCCTCCACAAGCCGAGCACAGAGGTCTGATGAGCAGAGCTTTCTCTTGGACCTCATAGATCTGTCCTGCCCATGCCTCCTTCTGAGGCCCCTAGCCAACAGAACTAAAGAAAGGAAGTTTGATTGTATACGCCATGCATTTCTGCTATATTACAATGGCCCTGTGTATCTAATACAGAGCCCTGAAACTGAGCACACATGTTTCACGCATTAGCATGTATGGGTCATTCTGCACGGTCCAAATCCCGCCTGGCTGGTAACTGGCAGTGCCATTCAGAGATAAAATGTGTCTCTTCTGAAAATAACAGTTAAGTGTGTATATTTGTCCCCTTCCTGTATTTGTTAAGCAGATGAGAAAACTTTTTTTTTTTTACCATAGCTACTAGTTTAATTTTAATAAGAAAGTGAATCAGTAGTTTATCTATATTCAACCAGATTTTATGATTCAACCAATAAGTTGAGTTTTTCTCTAAGGAATACTTTGCGAGTACCTCAATGCCTATGGGTTTCATATGGAGTAAGAATCATAATACTGGGCTCCTAAAGTAAAGGTGGATCACGTTCTCATTTGTGCTGCCACTATTAAATTACCTGCTTCTCCTCACGCAGAGGACGGTAGATTTTTATGGTGGGGAATCAGTCATATAAATGAACGACAGCAACAAAAAGGAATTAATGAATGAGTTATCTTTAAAAGAAAATGGCTGGCATAGCAGTAAAAAGCCCTTATGTAATAGTCAGATGCCATCAAAGAAGATGTTTTATTGTCTGCCTTTCATTTAATTTTATCCTTCACAGGGGAATTTTTCCATTTTGCGGTAACTAAGCAACCTGTTATTTTGAATCACTTAGTGCAGGCTTTGCACAGTATGGGTGCTCAATAAATCCATTTTGATTAATGAGCAATTTATAACAACACTAGCAAAGACTGTTTCCAATCCTGTTGAGAGAGAATGGATGATCTCTGATTTTTTTTTTTAAAAAAGGCCATGTTCAATAGTGACACGCCAGCATACTGGGGGTCCTAGTTACCGCTGTTCGATTTGCTAATGTGCTTACTGGACCATGGTTTGCCTGAAATGGAAGTGTCACCTGTAAGTAATCCTCCACACCCCATTACACATTTTCTGTCAACTGACATAGGCAGGATGGAGGGCGAGGGTTTCTGAAATGAATTTGTAACCATGTAAATATCTATATTTATATACTTAGTATGTAAATATATAAATTCATATACATGTACTTATAGTATATTTAAAGATTTATTTATAAACTTATAATATGTAAACATGAATTTGTGTGTATTATATATACATTATATATAGATTTTATTTTGATAATTCCATGTTGTATTCATATAAACATATGAATACATAATATATGATAAATATATGTAGAATATTATAAATGATATATAAATATATATCTAATATGTAAAATGTATTTATATATTAAATGATTATAAATGTATTTATATACAAATGTAAAGGTATTTATATGGTTACAAATCTATTATATATATGCATATGTATCTATGTTTGAGATAGTGAAGATTCTCTCTAATGCCATAGTTTTTAAATTAAAACAATTCCAGCTGGACCAGGACAGACGTTTATCTCTGCTAAGGAAGTGAGCAATGTCAACAGGATTTCTGTGGGTATGTTTAACTCATTTAAAAGAACAAACTATTTTTAAGGCCCTTGGAAACATCCTTTTACATACAAATATTGGTTTTTCTGATAAGAACCATTTTTTATCAGCTAGCAATTATTTATCTGGCATTTGCTCGGTGCTCAGTGGTTTTGTAGCCATTTATTAAGTCAGATATCTACATGGTAAATTGGTAACAAGGGGCTTAACAGAGGGAAACAGCAAGGAAGCCACGAGTCCCATGTGCACCGTGAAGTCCTGGTCCATTAGCCACCTTCTTTATCCATGTGGGCATTTTGACAAGGCAGATGTGTCTGCTTGCATTGATGGAAGCTTGCTGCACTTTGAAAACAACATCCTAAACAGAAAGGAAATCACCCCAAATGAGTTTCACCTGTTCTTTGAATGGTGTAACATACGTCGTAGATTAAGACTTCTGAAAATACAGTGAACTCTCGCTAAGACGAAGGCATCGGCTTTTATGGTTTGCTTACCTTCTGGGATCACGCTTCCCTATAAAGTCAGACTGTGTATAGTAACGAGCGAAGTCTTACTTAATTCACTAATCCATGCCCTTGAAATTCAGGCAGTCCCCCACTGCTTCTCTGATGTCTTCCATTCCAGGTGCTCTCCTTCCTTGTCTCGGTAGCTGATTTCATATTTCAATTCACAAAGAACATAGAATCCATACAGCTGTAATCCCAGCACCTTGGAGATGGAAGCAGGAGAATCAAGACTTCCAGGTCAGCCTGGGCTACCTGAGACTGTCTCTAACAAACAAAAAGACGAAAGAAAAGATATAGAGGCAGGGACGTGAAGAGAATTGCACAGAGAGAGAACTACCCCTGACTCTTTCCTCTGATTGTCCTTCCTGTTAACATAGGTGGGGTGTTCTCTCCCTGTGTGCTGTATCCTCTGTGCTCCAGTCTCTGACTTCTTAGCAATTTTATCATTTCGTTCAATCTTCTCCCCTCCGGTGTGTTTGTATATAAAGTAGTATTTGTGGTATGTCCTCTTAAACACACAACGTTCTGGGGATCAAACCCAGGTCTGTTTTTCCACAAGTTGGTCACACCGCTTACCACTAAGATGCCTACCAGCCCCTACCTTTTGAGTTTTTCTTTGTCTTTTTCTCCTGAACATGTGGATCAATGCTCTCTTTTCTTTTAGAAAATAAAAGCAAAACACTATTGACATTGAAAACAACTGACTGATAGGAATTCCTCGAACCTACTGGACACTCAGCTACTCTTTCCTGTCTATCTGTATTAGTCAAGGTTTTCTAGAGTCACAGAACTTCTTATGAATCTCTCTCTCTCTCTCTCTCTCTCTCTCTCTCTCTCTCTCTCT